AACACAAGCTAATAATTTTTAAATAAACCAATTTCAAAACAAATTAGTTGCACTAAATTTAACAGAACAAAATCAGATCAATATACCTACCTAGGTACTTATTTGACAATAATGGCGAATTGAATAAAGAGTTAAGAGGGTAGCTAAAGACACGGTAAATCGTAAAGTTAAAGTCACGGTATACCGTGACTTTTGTTATAACGTTATAACGTGACAATAAAGTCACGTTTATATAACGATTAATTTAGCAAAGTAAGTCTATGGAAGCATTGGTAAAGGCAGATTCTATATCAAATCGACATCTCCAAAATTAATAATTTTCGTTAAAGATATATATATATAGGTCACAACTTTATAGTTAAGATATTGGCCACGTTAACGTCACATTTAAAAATGTTAGTCACGTTTGGTTACCTGGGTCCCACTTTGATTATTATTAAAAAAAGCATTTTTATCTAGGTCCATGTGTTTTTTTAACCTGTCTACAGAGATCCACAGAGTTTCATTTTGTATCAAGTTTTTTACCCACTAAAAAAAATACTGTTTTAAAGAGTTGCAGGTGTAGCGCTAAATTTGGAAATTTCGCGCTGGCGCTTAAATGTAGCGTTTTTTTCACATATGTGATTTTTTGTTAAATTTGGCGCATTTATTATCGCTTAGGTGGCGCTGTGAGAATTTAAGAAGCAAAAGCCAGTCATCAAATATACAATTTTTATTTATACCATTTTAAATATTTATAAAAAAAATCAACCTCAGTATTGTCATTTCGAAGTTGTGAGAAATTTGTGAGTAATCTTGAAAAGTTCTGAGAGTAAATCAAGGAAGGTCGGTTGGCAGCCCTGCCCACCACAGACAGTGTTGTTCCGTCTATTACATTTGTAATAGATCTATTACAACGGTCAAAAATGTATTACGTCATTACAAAATTAATAAATCTATTACATTTTCCAGATTTGTCCGTTTTTTTTCAACAATAATTTTATATACAGTTTGACCCATTTGTATGCGACTAACCCCTGAAAAACCTTTATTTATTGTGCGATTTTAAACGGATTTGTTTTAAAGTGTAGATCATGGAGCCTATACACAAGGAGTCCGAACTGCATGTAAACAAGAATCTTCCTAAAGAAAGTAGGCGCTGGTGTCCCGTTTATTCTGAAACAATTGACTAATTTGTACCGAAACGCTATCAAAAGAGCAGACGTCAGGACGCATCAACAATCAGCGCCGCAGGTGGTGAAAAAAAAAGACTTAATTTGTGCAATTTAGAGGGCAGGTTTTGTCAATTTTCCCTATTAAGTTCGGGCTCCTTGTGTAGGCTCCATGGTGTAGATCTTGATAAACTGTATTTTTGGACCAAAGAACGCCATACAAAATACAAGGCCTACTATGTCAGTTTTTAAAAGTAAATTTTTAAGAATTCATATTAGCGATTTTTTTAAACAAAATCTAAGCACGCCACTGTATTCACCACCCATCAAAACGACCCTTTCTAAATTTTATTGAAAAATTTTAAGTAGGTAAATGCATATACCTATAGTATAGGTATATGGGTAAATGCACAATAATAACTACAAAAATTTATTCCGTCAAGTTATCCATGAAAAAAACATTGAAATAAAATTAAACTTGTAGTACCATGATCAGTAAGTACCTACCAATTACCTGTACAATTTTATTATTTTATCGATATCTGTTTTTGTTAACAAATATTTAAATAAAATCTTTATTCACAAAACATGCATGATGTCTTTGGATGATTTTAAAAATCCCCCCTCCCCCTTACCTTTATAAAATAACAAATTTCTTTATTTTTATAATGATAGGTATAACTATAGTTAAAAAATGGCCATCTATTACATTTTATAGGGATCTATTACTTTTTTCTGTAAAATCTGTTACGCTTTTTTTCCCGCTTGGAACAACACTGACCACAGAACATAACGATTTTGTTCGTGCTAGGGTACGGATCGCTCAATGAAAAGTGTGAAATATAGATGACTCTTCGAGCTAGGGGGAACAAAATTGGATTCCCGGAATAGAAATATTCCTGTTTCTTGATAATATTCCTCGATTGGTCCTTGTACAAGGGATAAGAGGAATTTATATAAATTTATAAATTTTAAGGTTATATAACCTATTTGTGTCCACGTGTGTGTCCGATAGTCAAGCTTTGTCCAATGGTTTTTGGTTCTTCGGAAAGCATTGGACGTTAAAACTAGTAACTGGGCAGTAAGAGCCTAATCGGCTCAAGTCCAATTCTCTCGAAAGAGAGAATAAAAAGTATAGAAGAAGAAGAAGAAGGACTCTTAGGTTTTAATTTATGTGTATACTTATGTTAGCTAACATGCTTTTATTTTGGTTTTTCGCATTTAAACATGTCCGAGCACAAAATACCTTTGATTAATTTTCTTTATGAAAGTTCTGACTCATAATAATAATAATAATATTATTCCACGCTTAACGGATAGGACAGTTGCCGTTTTTTTATTTACAAAATAATATTGTTCTATTATATTACGAATGTCAAATTTTTATAAATAGTTCTAAACAAAAGCTGTTTAACAAGGTTTTTATTTGGCAAAATTAGGTATCGTGATTGACTGTTTAATTCCTTAAAAATTAATAATTTAAAGCGTAACGGACGGGACTTTTACAAATTTTGGATTACACCTGCACCGGATCGGTAAAGCACCCACATCGAACTATGAGTTCTGTCACAGAACTTCTGTGAAGTGTGTGACGATCCACCGCATCGGCTGTTCGATTGCCCGCTGCATAATGAGACCAGAATGGTAGCAGAGACCGTGTTGGCGATTGGCGTAACAAGACCCAACTTCCTGAGGCTGCTCCCCCGTGTCAATGACACTCTTGACTTACTAGTCAGATGAGATACCAGAGTCCCCCTTTATGTTTGTATACGTCCAATATACATAACGTAGGTTAGGCTAATTTAAGTTTGTGTTTAGTATATAGTTAGTACTTTCTGCATACCCGAGGATGGAGAAACCGCAAGGTATGTGCCATCCTCCATCTGCAACTTGTAGAAAATATTATTAATGTCCGCTTGTCCGCAATACATTTTTACTTTCATGAGAAGACTGCTCCTTAAGAGCAGGGGTGGAGGAATTTCAATTCGGGCCTCTCAATTTCTGCCTACACACACTTCCACTTTGAAATTTTGCCACCAAATCCCGTAGATATTTCCTGCAAATTGGGTTTTCTGGGTACCTTTCATTAAACATCCTTTCTGTTTCGAGCAAATTTCGCCCCATTTCACCATAAATAAAAATAGCCTTCATTTTTTCTTCTAATGGGCGATGTCTAACCATTTTACAATCAAATATTAATTTAAATTGCATGAACAACTAACAATTTAATACTAAAGATATTAATTATTTTATTTTTGTATCTTCTTAAAAACAGGATATTGGTACTTATGGGTATTTAAAACAAAAAAGTTGGCAAAAAACGCATAATTATTGCACTGGTTTGCAATAATTCGCACTCTGCGAAAATATTAGTAGAAGCGACAAAAACGCTTAATAACTAAGCTATGGTTAAACGGATTTTAAAATCAAAACTGTTAAATAGAGAATTAAAATACCTTTCAAATGAGGTATCACAAGCACCCCCTTTCCATTTGAAATTTTCAAGTTGATACTGCCCTATACAGGGTGTTTCATAATATATACGCAGGACTTCAGGATGTGATAGCTCATCCAAAAAGATGAAAAAAGTCGCTATTAAGTTACGCTCTAAAATGCACAATTTTCGAAATACAGGGTGTTGAAATTTTAGAAAAAAATTCGTTTTTTTCGAATATCTCCGGAACCGTTTATCGTACAAAAAACAGCTTTTGTAAGCATTTTCTACTCAAAATAAGCTATGTTTTGTGCTAGAAAAAATTTTTTTTTCCTCATAATTGGTGGAGATTTTGAAGGGGTAGCGAGTGTTTTTCTCCTCAACTTCTACGCCCCTGAAAAAAGTACGGTTTTGAGAGGCCCATTCGAACCGCCAATGTTTTCTACAAAAAAAGGTACTCCTGGTCATAAGCTCTAAAGTTGACCGTTTTTGAGAAAATTCAACTTTTATGTTTAAAAACATGGTCAATTTAAAAAAAAATATATTTTTTTTTACTAATTAAACAAAATTTATTTTAACGTTAGGACAAGTAACAAAACCAAACCATAATTGCAAAATAAAAAATGATTTAAAAGTTGTCTTTGCTTAATTCTCCAAACCGTAAAGGTAACGCATCTCGCACATTTCAGCATTTGAGTAAAAAATCATTTTTTATTTTTTTTTTAATTTTGCAATTATCGTTTGGTTTTGTTACTTTTTCTAACGTTAAAATAAATTTTGTTTAATTAGTAATAAAATTTTTTTTTCAAAAAATTGACCATGTTTTTAAACATAAAAGTTGATTTTTCTCGAAAACAGTCAACTTTAGAGCTTATGACCAAGAGTACCTTTTTTCTGTAGAAAACATTGGCGGTTCGAATGGGCCTCTCAAAACCGTACTTTTTTCAGGGGCGTTGAAGTTGAGGAGAAAAACACCCGCTACCCCTTCAAAATCTCCACCAATTATGAGTAAAAAAATTTTTTTTTCTGGCACAAAACATAGCTTATTATGAGTAGAAAATGCTTACAAAAGCTGTTTTTTGTACGATAAACGGTTCCATGGAACAGAGATAATCTAAAAAAAACGATTTTTTTTTCTAAAATTTCAACACCCTGTATCTCGAAAATTGTGCATTTTAGAGGGTAAGTTAATAGCGACTTTTTTCATCTTTTTGGATGAGCTATCACATTCTGAAGTCCTGCGCATATATTATGAAACACCCTGTATAGTTTTCCAAATTGTGCTGGCGCTTTTATTGGACCCTGCATATGAAAGTTGTTTTTAGTTCAGTGCAGACTTAATTTAAAATAGCGTAATATACAATTGAGAGGAAAATCATTAAAAAAAGGTTTTGAAATAAAAAACATATTTTTGTTTGCTTATTATATTAATTAGGCATACATACAAATTAAAATCACAGATCCTTGGAAATGATAAAATTTTCAATAAATAAGTCAATATTTTGAATATTGGCCAATAAGTCTTTCAGAAGTTTGGTCTTATTTGGTAATGAACTAAAAATTAATTCAAAGTGTTCTTGAGATCTCTTGTCCTCAATAATTTTTTGAAGTTCTTTATCCTTATTAGACAATCTAAAACAAATATCGTTATTATATACTATATATATATATATATATATATATATATATATATATACAGGGTGTTTCTTTTAACTTGAGACAGCTCAATATCTCGAGAAATACGCATTTCACGGAAAAATGTATTAAATAAAAGGTTAATGTGACTAAAGGGGACATTGTTTGGTGCTACCGCTAGCCACCCCCTACCCCTCCTTAAGGGTGAAACGGGGGGTAACTTTGGAAAGTCAAAGCAAAAGCAAATTATTACATCAAATAAACAAGTAAAACATGATATTAAGGTAATTCAAACTGATAACAAAGAGGACATCACTGACAAGAAAGAGATTGCAAATTACTTTAATCATTATTTCATCACAATCTCCCAGAAATTAAAGTGCAATCAAGGAAATCAACATAATATACCAAGCCTCCATACAACATCAATGTACCTACCAAGAACCACCCCAGAAGAAATCAAGAAAATCATAAGTAATCTGAAGAACAATGCATCACCGGGTGGCGATGGGATTAAAACGAAAACTATGAAGAGCATCAAAGATATTATAGCTCCATATATAGCACAATTAATAAATAACCATTTTACACAAGGCACGTTTCCAGAAGAATTAAAAACAGCAAGGGTTACAGTCATTCACAAAACAGGATCAAAATCACAAGCAAACAACTATAGGCCCATATCCGTATTATCAATACTTGCTAAAATATTTGAAGTAGCCTTAAAAATAAGACTGCTTAACTATCTAAAAAATAGAAATTTCTTCAATATGCACCAGAATGGATTTTTAAATAAACGAAATACTCAAACAGCAGTAGCTTCCCTATTGGAATATGTATATACAAAGATTGATAATGGACATACAGTAATGGCATGCTTTTTGGATCTTCAAAAAGCATTCGATGTAGTAGATCACAATATTTTGATAAGCAGATTAAAATCTATTGGAATAAAAGGTAAATCACTTGAACTTTTCAAAAGTTATCTTACAGATAGAAGGCAGTATACTACGGTAAATGGCATCAAAAGCATCAATGAGGTTATCATCAGTGGAGTGCCGCAAGGAAGTGTATTAGGACCTATTCTTTTCCTGATCTATATAAATCAATTGACCAATATGAAACTTAATGGAAACTTAACACTCTTTGCCGACGATACTGCTCTTTTCTATTCGGGTACAATGCCAAAAATATATGAAGATGCTCAGCAGGACCTGGATACCATCACAGAATGGACAAAGCAAAGTAACATCCGACTTAATGAATCCAAATGCAACTATCTCGAGATCGTTTTCAACAAGAAATCCCAAGTAACTGATAAATGCTTAACAATCAACAACAGTATACTTAAGGAGATGACTACTGCAAAGTACCTAGGTTTGATATTAGACAACAAATTACTGTTTGACAAACATATAGAAAGCATACGGAGCAAAATAAATAAATTGATCTATCCCCTATATCATTCAGCCAAATTTTTCAATCAAGTAACGAAATTCAAAATATACTCTGCCTATGTTCACTCAGTTATGTCATACTTGGCAGCATTTTGGGGACAAACCAGAAAACAGGATATTGAAAAACTACAAGTTACCCAGAACAGATTCATAAAAGTGTTGTTTTGTAAACCTATGTGTTATGGAACTAATGAGCTGTATAGAGAACTAAATCTTCTTAAAGTGTGTGATATTGTCAAATTAGAAAGTCTTAAACTTGTACATAAAATAAAAATAATATATTAGAGACTGACATAACATTGGTGCAAAACTGTGATATTCACCATTACAATACTCGCACAAACCAAAACTTTTATATTTTACCAAGTGCAAAAAACATTGGAAAGAAGAGAGTAACTACTACGGCTGTGCAATGGTACAATGAACTCCCAAATAGTATTAAGGACTTAGATGTTATAAACTTTAACAGAGCTATAAAAAATTATTTATTATCTAGAAATAACACACTTTAATTTATTTTGTATATATTGTATATTTATAGTATTTTGTTAAACACAAAAAGCCTTATTTTATTTTATATTTATGTTAACCTGTTATGAACGTTTGTTTTTTTTGGATTCAATAAATACAAATACATTAAAAAAAATGGAATGACCCGATTTTTTTCACAGAGTTTGGTAGTACATAAAAAATAAATAACTTTTATTTAAAACTTTTTTCAATTTATCAACAGATGGCGCTGTAATTCAAAATTTAAGAAAAATGAGTTTCCTTGTAAAATGTATTATTTGAAACGTTTGAAAAACAAAAATTAACATTAACAACAATAGTCGGCTATGAAAACAATTTATAACAATGTTCGAAATGTCGTCATTCCATTTCAACACATTTTTGAATGCGGGTAATGAATTCTGGCACACAACGCGCCAACATGTCTGGCGGTATCGCCGCACAGGCGTTCCTGATCCGCTCAACCATGCATGTCCTCCGAAGTTGTAGGAATTGCAGCGTAAACTTTTTCTTTCAAGTAACCCCACTGGAAGAAGTCTGGTGGCGTAAGATCAGGTGATCGAGCAGGCCAAATTACTGGACCACGTCTACCGATCCACCGCGGTGCACCGGCCATTGAACTCCCGATCCAACACCTCTCGAGCAATTGCCGAATAATGTGCAGGACAATCATCTTGCTGGTACCACATGTTTTGGAGCCGTGCTAGTGGTACATCCTCCAAAAGGTCCGTCAGATCGTTTTCTGGAAAATTCCGGTACTTTTCGCCATTTAATGCTCCGTCAATAAAGAAGGGTCCGATTAATCGTTCGCTTAAGGTACCGCACCAAACGTTTACCCACCAGGGACGCTGGTGCTCCACTTGCTGTCGAAATGGAAGGACGACATTTCGAACATTTGTTATAAATTGTTTTCAGAGCCGACTATTGTTGATTTAATGTTAATTTTTGTTTTTCAAACGTTTCAAATAATACATTTTACAAGGAAACCCCTTTTTCTTAAATTTTGAATTACAGCGCCATCTGTTGATAAATTGAAAAAACTTTCAAATAAAAGTTATTCATTTTTTTATGTACTACCAAAATTTGTGAAAAAAATCGGGTCATCCCTTTTGACTTTCCAAAGTTACCCCCCGTTTCACACTTAAGGAGGGGTAGGGGGTGGCTAGCGGTAGCACCAAATAATGTCCCATTTGGTCACATTAAACTTTAATTAAGACATTTTTCCGTGAAATTCATATTTCTCGAGATATTGAGCTGTCTCAAGTTAAAAGAAACACCCTGTATATCAGAAACAGTAGGTTTTCTACTTTACGCCAGTAGTAGGCAACCAATATTGCGTAGACTGAAATGGCTTCCATCTCGCCACCGAGCCGGGCTCGAAGCGCGTCCCCCGAATGGTGTGGTCCAATGACTAATGCACCATACCCACTAACACTGACAGACAGCCTGTTTCGACCTGTTGGGTCTCATCAGTGTCAGGCATCTCGCCGCTGTCCTGGTCACTTATTTTTTTAAAAGTGAACAGTGCCGAGCTTGATGCGTGTCTCCCGTCACCGACTGCCTGACACTGATGAGACCCAACAGGTCGAAACAGGCTGTCTGTCAGTGTTGGCGGGTATGGTGCATTTAATATAGTCATTGGACCATACCATTCGGGAGCCAGTCTCGGTGGCGAGATGAAAGCAGTGTTCACAACTGCAGGGAATTTTCCTTTTTTAGGGAATTTTGGTACCAAAAAGAGAAAAACATTCAATTTTCTTAGTTTCTTTAAGAAACTTTCTTGACCCATCACTGGTAATATTCATAAGAATATAAGAAAAAATTGAACCTACACCTCGCCAAAGTTTTTTGTTTCGAATGCGTTCCACCAACTTCAAATACCGACAGACAGCTGTTTCGACCTTTATTGGGTCTCATCAGTGTCGGGCAACTTGGTGTAGTGGAACACAATCAAAACAAATTACTCCCTCAAAAGAGAAAAGGGAATTTTTTAGTAAAATTCGTTAAAATTAGGGAATTTCTCATATGTATTATTAAAAAGCCCACGTTATAGATTACTTTTTTTTGTCGGTCACTAATTTAATAAAGTGACCCTAAATAAAAAAAAGTTTGACAACGCAGCCCAAATGTTGTGGTTAGAAGGAGAAGAAGAAGAACTAACTATATGTCAACTGCGAGAGGGAAAGTTGGCTTACGAATTCCCGAATTATTATTTATTTTAATAATTAATTTGTTATACTGCAAAAGCGGCCCAACTGAAGAAAAAAACATTTTGTGTTTTTATCTCGTAATATTCCTATAATGCGCTTATCGAGTGTGCTAGCCTAATAAAGTGTGTTTTAATATGAAGAGTAGTTACTACTCTGTATATTAAAATACACTTTATTAGGCTAGTTCACTCCATAAGCGCGTAATAGGAATATTTTAAGATAAAACCACAAAATGATTTTTTTTTCAGTTAGTCCGCTTTTGCAGCATACGCCTCAGATGTTGTTTTGACGTTTGCTTTTTATTTTATTTTTAGATCATATATTTTTGTTACAAACAATAACATTTATTTTAAAAGTTGTATTTTTGATATGAAGTCATTTTTCTAGGCTACTTTGAAAGGGAATTTTGGCACGAAATAGGGAATTTTTGCCATGCAACCAGGGAATTATTACTCTGAAAGGTTGGGAACACTGGATGGAAGGCATTTCAGTGTTTGCAATGTATATATATATATATATATATATATATATATATATATATATATATGTATAAATATATACATAAATATATATCTAGATGCCTGTTAAGTTGTCACTTCCGTAGTATAAACAAGACCTCCTGACTGTATATATATATATATATATCATAGGATGTTTAACCATATTAATCACTAATTATTAATAATCAATATTAATAGGTATATTCGTGGTGCTAATCCCGAACACTCTAGGCATGCTCAACATTTGTCCGGCGTATTTTACATTTTGAACGCCAAATTTTAAAAAGCGCATGCCTAGGATATCCTAAATTAGTTCGGGATTAGCTCCGCGAAAACAGCTTATACAACTATACTTACATGTTCAATATTAAAATTGAAATATAATTCCATATAATTGGTTTAAATACAATATTGGTTGCATTTAATTTGAAAGTTTTGACTAGGGCTTGTACATCTGACAAGACTGAGGAGTAAGAAGTGACTTTTAATGCTTGTAATAGCATTTGCATTCTAAAAAAAAAATAAAAACGTCATATAAAATAACCTTTTTATGGCTTATAAAAATAAAATACAATTTAATGCTAAATTTTTTTTAAAAATTTAAAATTAAAACATGGTTTTAAAAATTTGTATATAAAAAAGTAATTGCTAATGTCTATTATAAGTCGTCCATAAAGTACGTCACACGTTTAGGGGGGAAGGGGATTAAGACTAATGATATTATGTGTGAAATGGAGAGAGGGGTCACAAAATCCTCTAAAAAAGGAGTGAAGTACGTACTATATCGATGGACCCAAAGTTTAGGGCCTAAACTATAAATCTGATTTTTGAATCTAGTTTCAAGACAAGCAGGCGTTTTTATAATTAGTTCCTTTTTGGGATACACATTAGATATTAAAAGGCACAATTTTATTTTACTTACGCCTTATTTATAGAATTTAAAAATATTTTCCTTCTCAAAGCATTTTGAGAACTACCATCCACTAATGGTAATACTGCAGGAGCTCCCTCTTTACTTTTTTCCTCTATTTTTTTATTTGATGGAAAATTTGAATCTTCCTTTTCATATAATGCACCGCTATAAAAGGCCTTTACTTTTAAATCTAAATCTTTACTTTCCATCTTTAATTTGGAATAATCCGGCAATGGTTTAAAGGATTTGCCTGTTACAGAACTATCAAATTTTTCATCTGCCATTTCTTGTAACTGCAGTCGTTTACATATGTTCACATATTTAATTTGATGGCTTTGGTCCATTTCTTCAATATGTAATGTGTCAAACAAACTACTTAATTTTTTCTCGCTAAGTAAATTTTTAATAAATTGTTCCCCAAATATAAATATGTATGATTCCAAGGTAAACCACTCATTTAGTGATTTTTGTATTTGTGACTCGATATTATGTTTGGGTGTGGTTTTAGCCTTTTTTTTGTTCTTTTTTGGCGTGTTTGTTTCCTCTTTATTTTCTTTAACATCGCTTTTTTCTTCATTTTCATCGATCACTGGAAGTTTTGGTACAATTTGTTTATTGCTATCACTTTTTGTCACCTTTATCACTTTTTCTGGTATTTTTTTGGGAGGTTCTACCTCTATCTCTCCTTCTACCTGCTCATTATTTTCATTGATTGTCTGCATGGTAGATTTCAATAATTTGGAAGATTTTCTAAAACTGTTAGGGCTTTTATTAGGTTTTTGTGAATTTATTTCCCTATCAGCAATATCATCTAGAGATGCTTCTGTAAATGTAGATATTGTTGTAAATACTGGTTCAACTACTGGTTTTGAAATGCCTTGATCAATATACTCTCCTGGTAAACCCCTAAAATTTAAAATTATTAGTACCTATTTAAAATTTGGTTGCAGAAGAGTTAGATATTCATTACAAACAAAAATATAGGGTGTCACTAAAAGGTCGCACTAACGGGATTAAAGTACAAAATTCCGACAAATATTTTTTAGCTTGTAAGAGTTTAAATTTTAAGTTAAAATTAGTAAATAATAACAGTTTGACAAACTGTTATCAAATACATCTGTTAACCATGTAAATCTCAACTGTTTTATTTAAACGCTGTACAGCGTTTAAATAAAGCAGTTGATACACGTGGCTCCCGTCATAATTTATTTTAAGATTTGTTATGTTACGATAAAACTAAAACCAACCAAACCAACCAAACCAACCAACCAACCCAACCCTACACAACCCAACCCAGCACTTTTTATCAAAGGAACAACAATTTATAAAATAAAAAAAATTCGACAACTTCTAGTAGTATGGAACCCGGTACCTCTCGCATGCCAAGCGACCGCCCTACCATCTGAGCCATCCAGCTTAACATTAATTTTAATCGCTCGGGAATAAAAACGGATTTACAGTGTGTGACGTCAGTCGGGACCGAAGTTAAGTCCCGCCTCGGGACGGGATCCCGTGGCTCGAGCCACATCGTTATTTAAATTGCTTCCCTAACAACAATTATTGTATTGTATGTGTATTATTCCGGTTAATCACGTACACAACGTTGCCAAGTTTTTAAAACCTAAATGCTTGAAAACTACTTGAGTAAAAAAAATATTTTTTCTATTTATATAGTCATAATAAGCACAGTACGACACGCATTTGCGTATCGTCTCTATGGCAACAATACGATACGCAAATATAATTCGAATTTTTATAAAATTTTGCCATATAGTACCTATAAAGGTGTATGTATCTTGCTGTAAAGAACTCATGTCATAAGACATTTTATGCACGATGACATTATAATATGACAATTATAACAAAAATTCTTTGACGTAAACGTCTTTTTATAGCCCGCGGGCGTTATTATGACCCAGCGGGCTATAATGAAACGTCTGGTTTTTATGGTCCTACGACGCTTTTCTAGCCCGAAATAGCGCCTCGGACCATAAAAACCTTATTATGCCCTTAATACATAAATAACTATTCTCGCACTCGTCCTCGTACGAAAAAATGACGTCTTATGACATTAGTTCTTTAATATACTATTTTACTCTCCTTCGCGTGATATAGCTGTACAGGGTGGTCCACGTAAGGTGACCCATATACTTATCTCAGAAACTACTGGAGTCACAAAAAATTTGTAAGAAACAAATATTCACGAGGTAAAAAATATTTTTAAAATATTATATTTTCATTTATACAGGGTGTTCGGTTTTCCTTGGGACGATACCAACTTTCTTATTTTCAATGGAACACCCTGTATTTTTTTGCATTTTTGGATTCTTTCCACTCTTTTAGGTATATTTTGTAAATATATTAAATAAGAAAATGTTAATACTTTTTGAGTAAAATTAAGATTTATTAAAATTTCTCTAAATGTAGACACTCGCTAAAAGTTAAAAATAACCAACTAAAAGTTATTATTTTTTATATTATGTAGTATCCATCTCTTTAATAATAAGTAAGCTATAAGTTAATTATTATATTTTTTGGAAAATATAATACAGGGTGTTTTCTATGTCCCGTTGAAAATAGCGATTTTAAAAGTTTAAAATCTTGTTTTTCTTCAATGGAACACCCTATATATTTTTGCATAATTGGATAGAATAAGTAATTACCTTTCATTTTATATATATATATGTACTATACCTAAACCTAACAGAAAAAAAAATATTCGCATTTTTCACAATTAGTAGCTTTTTTCCAATTACCTTAGTTAAATTTTCATTATTCAAAGAAAACACCCTGTATAATATTTTCCAAAAAATAAATTAATTAACTTATAGCTTACTTATTATTAAAGAGATGAATGCTACAGAATATAAAAAATAATAACTTTTAGTTGGTTATTTTTAACTTTTAGCGAATGTCTACATTTAGAGAAATTTTAATAAATCCTCATTTTACTCAAAAAGTATTAACATTTTCTTAATTAATATATTTACAAAGTATACCTAAAAGAGTGTGTAGAATCCAAAAATGCAAAAAAATATAGGGTCTTCCATTGAAAATAAGAAAGTTGGTATCGTCCCAAGGAAAACCGTATATGGGTCAACTTACGTGGATCACCTAAAAAAATATTCGCATTTTACAAAATTAGTAGCTTTGCGCGTATGGTAATTATTATAGTAATATATATTTATATATAAAAGCATTTTTATTTGTTGTTATTGAAATTTATTTATTTGAATAATGAAAATTTAACTAAGGTATACCGGTAATTGGAAAAAAGCTACTAATTGTGAAAAATGCGAATATTTTTTTTTCTGTTAGGTTTAGGTATAGGGCATATATATATAAAATGAAAGGTAATTACTTATTCTATCCAATTATGCAAAAATATATAGGGTGTTCCATTGAAGAAAAACAAGATTTTAAAATCGCTATTTTCAACGGGACATAGAAAACACCCTGTATGATATTTTCCAAAAAATATAATAATTAACTTATAGCTTACTTATTATTAAAGAGATGGATACTACATAATATAAAAAATAATAACTTTTAGTTGATTATTTTTAACTTTTAGCGAGTGTCTACATTTAGAGAAATTTTAATAAATCTTAATTTTACTCAAAAAGTATTAACATTTTCTTAATTAATATATTTACAAAGTATACCTAAAAGAGTGGGTAGAATCCAAAAATGCAAAAAAATACAGGGTGTTCCATTGAAAATAAGAAAGTTGGTATCGTCCCAAGGAAAACCGAACACCCTGTATAAATGAAAATATAATATTTTAAAAATATTTTTTACCTCGTGAATATTTGTTTCTTACAAATTTTTTGTGACTCCAGTAGTTTCTGAGATAAGTATATGGGTCACCTTACGTGGACCACCCTGTACATTTTGAGCGAAATTAATTTTAGAAAAAGTATACAAGCATGCATGCATGTATGGCATGCAGTGTCTACTATTTAGTTACAAGTACCGAAAAATTATTATTTACCAGTGGTGGCCCGTGACATTTTGTTTTGGTAAGGCAAGGAAAAGCTTTCGTTCTCATTTAAGACGGCGAAATTTTGTCAACCAAACTAAAAAAACTGATTTCGCAGGTCGCAACCTAGTCTAAACATTTTCCATACCACGACTAGGTTTAACAAATTTCTTAACAAACATTTTATGATCGAAAGAAAGATGACTAAATAGCAAATTCAAAAGGAAATCAACAATAGAGTAATTGCATCAAAAATTAAAATCCTTAAAAACCTTTTTATTGTAATCTAGAGGTAAAAACACATTGCGAAAATATTTTTTTATATTCCAAAAGTTCAACCCGGCCCCAAAATATCAAATTGAAAAAAAGGTAATTTTCAAACGTTCCGAACTCCCGCCATATTGCATGACGTCATAAGCTTCACCAGCTGTCAGAAATCAAGATGTCAACAAATAATAAACACCGGTAAAGTTTATGTTTAACATGGAAAACGCGAAACCAAAAATTGGTTGTAAATATTGTTTTGTGCCTTGTACAAATACAACCTGGAAAACTCCTGGGAAAAGGTTTATCACCGTGCCAGGATAAAGTGGATTAAAATAGCTCGGCGCGATATCAAAACATCGTCACCATTTTATTGCTCATTTTAAGGATCATTTTAATGTAAGTAAAATAAAATGTCGTTTACTAGGTATATGGTTTGAATAGGTATGTTAAATATTAATAAATTCAAGAAAATACGGCTGAGCCGTAACTACTCTCAGTGTAGGGTCATAAACTTTGCTTTTGATAATTGAAGGGACAACTTTCCCAGGAGTTTTCCAGGTTGTATTTGTACAACAAGGCACAAAACAATATTTACAACCAATTTTTGGTTTCGCGTTTTCCATGTTAAACATAAACTTTATCGGTGTTTATTATTTGTTGACAACTTGATTTCTGACAGCCGGTGAAGCTTATGACGTCATGCAATATGGCGGGAGTTCGGAACGTTTGAAAAGTACCTTTTTTTCAATTTGATATTTTGGGGCCGGGTTGAACTTTTGGAATATAAAAAAATATTTTTGCAATGTGTTTTTACCTCTAGATTACATTAAAAAGGTTTTTAGGGATTTTCATTTTTGATGCAATTACTCTATTTCTTACCAAAATCAAGTGGAGAATTCTCCACCCTTTAGAAACACTGAAACACTGCCAAAGAACGCCGTTATTTGTCTTCTGCGACCGCATTGTGTATCAAGTTTTCATGGAAAATAAAAGACGGTCAACCGAATACTTCAGCCTTAGTTGTCATATTCAACGATATCGCAGTTGATACTATCAACTGCGATATCGTTGAATATGACATTTTTTGACCGGTTTTTATTTTCCATGAAAAAACTCGGTTACATTTTTAATAAACGTTTTTTTCGACCGGTAAAAAACCGAGTTTAAACCGGTTTAAAGTTAAAAATCAGCTTTCTTAACGTTTTATCTAAGCTGTGAAATACTGCATTATTTTATAACCTTTATATATTACCAGTATAATGGTAAAATATATTTAACCACTTTCTGCTGCAGTTTTATTTTCAAATCGGTTTTCAAAATTTTTTAGATCTAGATCTGCTAAATTTTTAAACTTAATAAATTATTACTAATAATGAAAAAATCTAACTAATATTTTACTCGACGCTTAAGCATAATTAATATTAAGAGCCCTGAATCCAGGCCTCCTGACTTCAGGGGTTAAAAAAAGTGTCACCCTGACAGATTTTTATATACCACGCATTAATATTTCATGAAATAAAATTTTATTGGGCAGGCTTAGGGTGTTTATACTGTACTATACGCCGTGTATAGAGGTCAGTAAAGTTCACCTCCCTCCAACCGTGAAAACCCTCTAACTCTCTAGTATACATAATAATTTTGCACACATTTGACCTTT